GAAAAAGGTGTGTGTGTTAAGCAGAGCATGTTCCCCAGCACAAGTTTTTACTGTCATTTTTACTGTACTTCTTAGTATTTAAATTAAATTTAAATGAGCTAAAGCTCATAAATTGTGACAACATTCCTGTGATGTAGATTGGGCAGGGACATATTAACTTGTGCTTCAGGCTGTCCAATGAGGTTCATAGCTAGGGAATTAAAACTGGCTCTCCTGTATCCATGTTCATCATGCTAGTCATTTCTTCACAGTGGCCATTTCCAATTTTTGATATGTTTCTAATCTCTGAGGTCCAAATTAAATATGACTTCGGCTGAGTGGTGAAGTATAGATCACACATTCAGTCTTGGGATCTTACATAGACTACAAACCACAGGTTTGGTCCCTGGCATCTCAGCTACTAGGACTGGGAAAGAACTCTGCTTGCAGCCATGGAGAAGTCAGTATAGACACAGTACTGGCCCTACAGGGTCTGTATGAGATGTGGACTGGCCCTACAGGGTCTGTATGGGACACTCCAGCCAGCTGGGCTAGGATTAAACACAGCTGGGCCAGAGGTGGCACAGTGGGGGCACCCAGGCCCTCAGCCCATTGATTTAAAATGGGCCTAAATGGAGGGAGGGTGGAAGTGCTGAAGAGGAGTGCAGAGGGCTACTGGAGAATGGGTGTGCAGAGGAAGGGCGTAGAAGGCTGCAAGGGGATACAGCAAAAGGAGAAAAGGCCAGATGTGGGAAGGGAGAGAGCAAGCCTGGGGAGGATACCCCAACCCTGCTGATAGTTATATCAGTTCACAAAAGAAGATAATAAGAGGGGATGCCAGTATAATAGAGGCAGGCAGTGGAGGATCCATGGAGGTGCACAACATCTGTAAAGAGGAAAAAAGAAGAAATAAAAACAACATGTAATAAGCAAGGGCCAAGGAGGAACCCCAGAGGGAAACCTGATAGCCGAATCTGAGGCCCTGATACTCTAAGGGTGACAGTTGGTCTGGACCTGTGATCTGGTATCTATTCTATTTCATATTTATCTTGCTGTCCTTCTAAGGAGTTCAGAGCAAAGAACTTGATGCTCCCTTCTTCCATTTTATCCTACCAACCAACCTGTATGGTAGGTAAGGCTGAGAGAAAGTGGTCCGAGGTTATCCAGTGAGTCTGGGTTATGTTTTACTTGACAGAGCAATTAGTAGTCATTTGGCAAACCCTCTGGCCGTTCAGTCAGTATCAGTGGTCCCAGTGGAGAATACCATATCGTAGGTAGGATATGTGTGGTTATATGACAACCACAGTTCACATGATGCTAAGCAATATGGCCTGCAGGAAGGGTGAGTCAAAACTGGCTGTTGCAGTCTAGTGCAACACTTAAGACTAGACCAGCAGCCGCACCCTCCAATCAGTGTAGATAGTTCATGTTCCCAAATGCTGAATGCATCTTTCCTGTCTAATGCAGCATCATTTTATGTGCATGAGAAAATTTCTATCAAGATAGGCAAGTTGCATGGAAAACCCTGTTCTTTATTATGGTTGCACATGTGGAACTGGGGCAGATATTTTTCCTATATATCCTGGGTTGTAAGAAAAAGAAACACTGGTTTACTTATTTGTTTCTTTACTCAACAAGCTTCCTCTCTCTTTCATAAGAAAAACCTGGTTCAGGGATTTGCTTGTTTATTGCTGATTTAAGGGTAAAAGCAGTGTTTTCTTTTGGCCAGGAGACTAAACACCTATTATCGAGTTTCAAACTCTGAGCTTACATTTAGCAGCATGTTGAGTTTAACAAATGGATATGGCAGCCAATGATGTTTTCAAGGACTTTTCTTATCAGTTTTTCATTTGATATAAATCATTTAACACACCCTGGTCATTGACTTCAGAGTTAAGAGAGAAACCTGTGGACTACAATCAATAAAGCGTAAGAGGTTTGTGTTTAGGCAGAAATGTAAGCTAATATTTTTTCTCACAAACGGTATAAACAGTGCAAATGCAACATGACAGAACTGGGAAAGATGGCAGTTTCATCGGCATGAATAAGAATGATCTAGACAGCCATTAGCTGTGAATATGCAGAATTTGTTTTTTGGAGCAAAATAGCATAAAGAATTTTGATATCCTTATGTAAGGATCTCCCTAATTATCATCATAACTGTTTCTTGAATAATGATGACTGCATTTGGAAACAATAATATCACAGAATAACTGTTTCTAAAAATGGAGGCTGTTCTCTTCACAAGACTGGAGAGCCCAGAAGTCTTTCTGGGAATAATTTATAATGCAATGACAACATTTTTCATTAAAAAAGCCTCTTATATTTCAATCACATTTTCATCCGTGCTTGACTTTGCAAATTACAGTATTCTGTGTACGAAGGGGAGAAGAACTCCAGCTGTAATTTTCTGAAACCAGCAGGTGGAAAATATAGTGCAAACAAAAATTAAGATACAGTATATCTGATTGTTGTGATGTCATTTATATTGTTGTTAATGATATACAAAAATATGCCTATATTCTGCACAAAGCACTGCAGTGTTATGTAAAAACAAGATTTGGCACTTAAAAGGTATTGCAGTATAGAGAATGATTCCCTTAGCTTTCGCAGAGTGTTTAAGAATACTTTTCCCTTTTTTGCTATAATTAAAATATATGGAGTACATTCCATTTCTTCAAGATATCTTTGTTATGTTAGATGTTTCATATGTGTGTGTAATTTAACCATCTGGTAGAACTATATACATTTGAAGGGCAGGGGTAGTTAACTCCCAGTATGTGTGCTCAATCAAACCATTTGGCTTGGCACACAAGGCATGCTTACTGGTCAAGTATTTATTTTATTAACAAGTAAGTAAGCAAGCAGAGTTTCTAAATGCTGGGAGTGCTGATGGAGCTGGTGGCAAGGAACAAGGCAAAAGTCATGGCTTATGCCCATGATCACCTCCAGACATGTGGCACTGCCAGCCAGGTCTGATGCTAGTCCCTGTGGAACTCATAGTGCCCCTAGGCTCAGTGTGCTCCCAGTGTGTCTGACCAAGTATGACACTCATCTTTCCCTCCCCACTTTTATTTTCTAGTATTCAAAAATCATCATCTGCAGGTGTTGCCTTTTTTGGGCACTTGGGCTGAAAGGTTGCCTAGCTCTGTTGTAGAGCATTATGGAACCAATTTCCTCAAATGGCCCTCAAGTGAGCACAGGTAGTCCATAGAAAGCATGAGTCTGCCTTACACTGACTCAGAACATTATCCCACCTAATTCAGCATTGACTGACAATAGTTCTCTTGAGTCTCAGGCTGGGTTCTTTCCAAGGGTTGCTGCCTGAGTCTTTTATATGGAAATTCCAGGATGAACAGGATTTTACTTGACTTGCACAGTTTGTTCTTGAGAGTATTAAATGAAAAACAATTGGGCCAATTCACCAAGCTGCATTACCAGAAACAAGTTGGAGCACTCATGACTGCACTGTGTCACACTAAAGCCTAGTGACATGATGAGATACTGCCACATACTTTCCTAGCATCTGTATGCCCACAAAGAGTAAGGAACAGAAAGAGAAAAGTGAGGAGATTGCATGAATAGAGGGGTGCTGCATAGCAGGCCGCAGGAAATGGGCTCAGAATACAGTCATCTATCACAAAATATTCTGGACTGAAAATCAACTACTATGATTAAGGTTGCAATTCTAGGCACATTTGGAAGTAAATTCCATTCACTAATGGGCCTTATTTAGACTAAACATGGATGTGATTTGCATAGTCACTATATCCAGGCCTTTTTTGTGATGCAGGCTGTGGAAGCTCAGTAGTTCAGTAGTTCAGCAGTTTGAGACCCGGGTGCCGCAAGACGGACTGAGCTCCCGTCTCTAGTTCCAGCTCCTGCCAACCTAGCAGTTCAAAAGCAAGAAATTGCAAGTAGATAAATAGGTGGGAAGGTAACAGCGTTCCGTGCGCCGTGGTGTTTAGTCATGCCGGCCACATGACCACGGAAACGTCTTCAGACAGCGCTGGCTCTTCGGCTTTGAAATGGAGATGAGCACCGCAACCCTAGAGTCGGATTCGACTGGCTTTCGAGCAAGGGAACCTTTACCTTTATTCACCTGTACTGAGTACTAGCACCTTTTTTTGAGGCTTTCCTAAGTCCTGATCCCTGTGTGCCAGCCTGCCCCAATCAGGCAGAGAAAAGAGAGAGTGGACCCTCAGGACAAGCTAGTGGGGATCTACTTTAGAGTCCAGTGGCACCTTTAAGACCAACAAAGGGAGCTGCAGAAGGAGGGAGGAGCTGGTGGAAATTAACGTCACCTTATATATAAGTACTGGCATTCCTTCCTTCCTTCTTTCCTAATAGGAAGGTGGCAGGCCACTAGATGACAACCTAGTGGGAATGTCTGTGTATTTGGGGGCTTCCAGGTATGGAGGAAAATATAACTGTAAATTAACCAAAGGGTGTCCGTGTGAAAAATTCCCTGAGGTTGGATTCAAACTGGCAATGTCCACCAGTTTCCCTTTCTTGCTGCAGACCCTCCTGTTGTTCCTCATGGTCCACTATTCTGGAGGAGCATTTTGTGGAGATTAGTGGA